CGTCGGTGTGAGTCTGCGTTGTGTGTGTGTGTGTGAGAGAGAGAGAGAGAGAGAGAGAGAGAGAGAGAGAGAGAGAGAGATAATGTGTGTGTGTTTGTGTTTGAGATGTGTTTTGTGCTTAGGTATGTGTATTGTAAAGTAAAGTCAGGAGATGTAAACCACCGTCATTGCACACGGTTATAATCCATAAGTGCTCACCAGTACGGACAGCTGATAAGAAACTGTTCTCCTGTGTTGCAGTCCGCAATCAACTTCGTAGCTACATCGACGTTCCTCTACGTGTGTGTATTTTTAGGCTTTTATTTTTGTACCATCTGTTGTTAAAAGTTCTATGCTAGAATGTCTTGAAGATTCAGTGCTTACGTAGACACATGAAACGGGATTCAATGTAAAACTATCAGTAGGCAAGACAAAACAGTAAGTAGGCAAGACAAAACAGTAAGTAGGCAAGACAAACCAGTAAGTAGGCAAGACAAAACAGTAAGTAGGCAAGACAAACCAGTAAGTACGCAAGACAAAACAGTAATTAGGCAAGACAAAACAGTAAGTAGGCAAGACAAACCAGTAAGTAGGCAAGACAAAACAGTAAGTAGGCAAGACAAAACAGTAAGTAGGCAAGACAAAACAGTAAGCAGGCTGCGTATAAAGGAACCTGTTTGCAACGACACAATCATATAATTCGGGAGACCTTGCGGCGACAAGCGTCTATCAGTAAACAAAAGCAACAGTCATTTTGTTTTTGCTGCAATTGTTTCTGATTGTTTTGTGTAAGTAAAGTAAGTAAAGGACCCTTTTCCACGCCTTTGGGGGTTTATGGCTTTTCGGGCTAGACCTATATTTTTTATAGACCAATCGGCCCTGATGGGTGATGTGTTGAGCAGGCCGCTTTTACTTCTCTGGACCGCACCTGGTACCCACTCAAGGCTGGGTCGACCTGGGAGCCAAGGTCAATTTTTGAAAATAGTCCGGCTCCACCAGGGAGCGAACTCTCGACCTTCCGATCCACGGCGAGCGTTTAGCCGCTCGTCCACGGCGACTCCCCGGTGTGTGATTTACATGCTTTTCTATGGAAGCCGCTGTAGTGTAGCGACTAGACGCTTGCTTACAGATCCAATGGTCTTGTGTTCAAAGCCGGAACAGAGCCAGACTTTTTTTGTTTTTCAAAAATGATTTTGTCTTTTGTGTGGTATATGAAAAAGAAAAACAAAACAGGTATAGATTCAAAGCATACAATTACCAGTTTTCAGTTAAATGTCTTGAGGCGATGTTGGTCAAACATCAGGCTGAACTAGTTTGAGAGGTAATCCGTGCGAGAAACCAAGGCGCAGGGATTTTGAATAGTGAATTAGATACAAAGCATGTTAATTGGGTCATAGAAAGTTAACCATTTCGGTCAGTTACTGTGTATATATACGTGTGTGTATGTATGTGTATGTGTGTGTGTGTGTGTGTGTGTGCGTGTGTGCGTGTGTGTGTTGTGTGTATAGGGGTACACAAATGATTAGTCCGACAAAGACTTTTGGAATGGACTATAGGTTGACAAAAGTTAGGTCTAAAAATCCATAAGGGAAGTACACAGACAATGAGAATAAATCAGATGAATAGTAATGTGGTTTCTCTTAATAGTATCCCACTCCAAGACGTGGAGTCGTAAACCTATTTGGGCAGTGATGTAGATAAAGAATTTGGGGGGGGGGAGGGCCGGTTGATAGAAATATTACAATACTAATCAAAAAAGCAAGAGCAAGAGGAGTTTGTATACACTAACAGTGCACTGCTAGCGACAGCCAGGTCACAGGCGAAATTTTTTCACAATTTTGGCTCTATCCAAACTCACACCCCAAAAAACAATGTTTTCAGTTCTTTTCGGCAAAGTAAAATATTGAAAATTGTATAGCTTTAAATGGTGGTCCAAAGGACGTTATGTGGACGTGGAAAGCTCGCTCTCCCTACGAGATACGTCTAGTTTACCCTCGATGAACGATAAGAGAAAAGAAGAAGAGTATTGACTGTCTTACTGATGTACGGTTTTTTCATAATTTTTTTGGGATGTTTTTTTTTGTTTTAGTATCCAGAAGCCATGAGTTGTTAACCCTTAGGCTCGGTATTGTGGATATCGCAACCTTTCGGCCTTGATTCCATTGTGAATACCGTAAATTTGGGAGAAATGTGGCTTTTCTGCCTACCCCCGGGAGTGAACCTGGACCACAAGGAGTTCGTCACCCGGTCACCACGCAATCCGGTTTAACCAACTACGCTAGAGAGCCGGGCAATTTTTTTGGATAACTTCATAGGCACCATACCTCAGAGGGACTACATAAAAATAAAAACATTTGTCTCGAACATCAACAAGACAACGGTGATCAACTGAAGAATGTTATTTTCATCTTCTTCGTTATTAACAGGAAGACGAAATTATCATATTGAAATAATTTTTTAGCAGGAAATGCATACTGGAAGACTTAGTTAACTTGATTAAATAGTTATGTAACGACAAACGTATACTAGAAAAACAAAAAGTTCAGCAAAAATATGACATGTTTGCAAGTGGCCAACAGGAACATTCATTGTAGTGATCTTCCAGCATATACAAACTTGCAACACATGAATTATTCACACAGACAATCAGATAGCGCCCCTATAGTGAAGGTTGGGTGCAATGAATCTCCATCATTCTCTGTATCTTGTCTTGATTGTATACTCCCTAAGTTAGTTGTTTGCCCGTTTCTTGCTTTTTTTTTTTTTTTTTCGCTGTATCTTTGTCTACCTCTTGCTTGCTTGCTCTTTTTTCTCTTACATTACAGCTTTTTTTTTAAATTGTATTGCTAAAGGGGACGAAATATTTTGCACATCTCTTTCTTTATTTCGTTTAATAATTATATGTTCTTTAAATTCTTTTAAAAGCTGGTATTAGAATCTATTTTTATTTCCATGAAATACGACATGTTCTTCTGTATATCTAAATCTCCAGGGACTGTTTGACTTTATAATTGCTTGATCATTATAGGAAGATTACTCACTCTCTCAGCACAGCCAAGCCAGATCATTTTTTTTAATGACGAGAGGGGGAGGAGGGGTGAAGAAAGCAGTAGCATTCCCATTAGCTACAACTGCAGCTTTAATACTCTTTGTAATCTATTGAGAGTAAGCACCTTTAAATGTGTCTGGAGTGTCGTATACTGGCCATGCTAACAAACAATAAAACTATTCGACTCATCGATCGTGATGTACTAAATATCAAACACCTTTGTACTTCATGATATTCTTACACGCCATCGGGGATTACACAACGATCAACCGAATGCATACAGACACACACAGACCTCAAAGGCGCCAACGCTTAGAAGACATAAGTTGAGAGGTCTCATCCCCATTCTTTTTTTTTCAAGGGATGGGGAGAGGAGCTAAAGCCTGTTTTAAGAGTCATTAAACAATATTATTATTATTATTATATTTATTATTGTTATTTGAAATGGCTTTGGCATATGGAAAGAATGTCAAATGACAGAGAGGTAAAAACTGTATACACAAGGGAGTTGAATGGTTGTAGACGACGAGGCAGACCAAGAAGACGATGGAGAGATAACGTCCAGACAGACCTTCAAACACTTGGTGTCACCAACTGGAAAGAGAAGGCCAACAAGAGATATGAGGGGAGGCTGTTGATATCTGCAGCAATGAACCTCAGGAGCTCAGAATGCTGAAGAAGAGGAAGAAGAAGATTATTATTATGACGAATTTTATTACTAGTATTATTATTCGTATTATTATCATTATTATGATTAGTATTTTTGCTATTATTATTATCAATATGTGTTCAACTGCTAAAAAGTATAGCATTTCTAAAATCATTTGAAATGTATACACGAATACGTACAAAAGGAACTTCTATACGCGGTTAAGGGAGAACTATACAATTGTTCTAGTCGGCTAGCGGGCTCTGTACCTGGATAAACAGATTTGTGGTGGGGGTGTTCGAAAGCTCTGGTGACTAAGTTTCCAGATGGCGGCCCTCCTGACAGGCTTGGACTCAAATACATTGACTTCAAAACAAAATAAAAAGCGATGGCAAATTAAAACATTACATTACAAACAAAATTATATAATCTAATAAACAATTAAATTCCGTTTCTAATTTATAACAAACACATTCTGACTAGAGGCAATTTCCTCTGTTCAATTTATATACATGCTTGTAAAACGGTCAAGAAAAAAATCAAACGATATTCCGGAATAATTTATACATATAAAATTTAAACGGCATTAGTTCTATCTACACATGGCATAAAGAATATTTATTCTGTCAAATGTATATGTATGTAAATGAAAAACACACTTAACAGATGAAACGAACCAATGTGCAGTTCATTTAGCCTCGTCTTCAATATCACCATCGTCACTTCTTCCATTCTTCAACGATCTTAGTACTTGTCGGAATACTAACAAGTACACCGTGTAGTTGTCAGCTCAGCCGAAGATCATTTGCAGTTCAAAATTACGTCTTTTAAAGAATGTTGTATTTCAGATAAACAGTCTACATAAAAATATGCCCGATCTGTAAAACGGATGTGCAGGCAACACTCAGATCCTGGAAACAGACTAAAGTCCAAATGTGGACGAACAACCAGAACTTTAACCCGGAGTTTGCAGACTGGGAACCGGGAGAAGAAGGTTCCTTGCACCATCTTGCATATTTATTTGTTAACATGGATTACTGCTGTCGAATTTAGCCTCTTTGTTACTGATAACGTGTATTTATGGCACACACTCCACAATTGTGCGAAATGATCGTTTGACGTACACAGAGAGAAAACAAACAGTAATATGTCTCGCCCATTTTCAACACAGTAAAATCGCATTTTTCGGCAGGTTGTATGGCAAAGAATGTTATATTTGAATGAAGTATATTCATGTACTGTCCTTGTAGAAGCTATCTTGTATTTTATCACACAATGTATCACACAGAGTTGCTGGAGATTAGGAAGCAGATAGTCTGGCGCTCACGTTGTTTGACTAAAGTAGGGATAGTACACCGATGGGTTTTGGTTGGAGCTGTATGAGCCGTGGGCACGGAGGATGCTGAGTGGACTGACAAGCCCGGCCGAGGGCAGGTAGGGATGTAGGGACTGGCCGTACAGCATGCTGGAGTAGGGGCTGGAGAAAGACCCGAACCCCCCTGAAGAGGGCGGGATTGTTGGGCTGTTGACGTCCAGGCCTGGGTTTTGTTTCTTCCATTTCGTCCTACGGTTCTGGAACCATATCTTTACCTGAGAACAGAAAGTAATAATCATGACAGTTGGGAGAAAGGACACTAATAAATAATAATAATAATAATAATAATAATAATAATAATAATAATAATAATAATAATACAAATAATAATAATATTAATAATAATAATAAAAGAAAACAGTGCATAATCATTTTATTTAAAAAATGAAAAGCATAGCATGCAGCTTTCTTACTTCAGAAAATAGATTCAGCAAAAATACCATTCAGTTTCAATACACAGGCAAATAGACACATTTCTTATAATAGAAAAAAAAATTAAGGCGCATTTCATTCAGATTTCAAACACAATAAAATTGATTTCACATGTGTATAATTCTCACAAGATCAGAAGGAAACGGTCATAATTATTTGGCCATGTTCTGGAAAGAGGACAAATGGAACCTGCTTTCAAAACCGGAAAGATTTGTGGAATAGAGTCAGATCAAGACAACGCAAGAAGAATCTTGGTAGCTTTTTATCCAGGCATGGAGGAGTGTCAGTACATTCACTGATACATGTCGTTGGCGATCGCATTTTGAGGAGATGCGTGGATCGCCCACTTTATTTGGAAAGGCACTTATTGATGATAACTTACATCTCACACATGTGACATATTATTCGGCTTTCGCAAGTGAGAAAATATGTTTAAAGCCAATATCTTTTCAATCTTCACCCACAAGAAAAAGATGTTCAAGTCTATAACATATAACTTTAAAACATTAGAAATTTAAATTTCAAACAGGCATAGTAATCCCTTAACGAGTGCTTAATTCAAGATGTTTTTTTAGGAAAGTGGATATCTCATCTGAAAGGAATTAGTTTCATTTTTATGCCTAACCACGTACAGGCAAAAGAAAAAACGCCAAAATTTCACATTAAAGAAGAAAAAAAAAAACTGCCGTGTGGTCCACTTTGAAAACCCCTATCTGTGATTAAATTATAAAGGCCCTTTTCTTTTTATTTATAATTTAAAATCTTTTCTTTTTATTATTACAGATATGTTCGATTATCATTGTTTTCTTCAATATTTTCATTTTTATTTTAAACCAGCAAATACAACTACTAATGCTGTTGCTGTATTGTTGCTGCTGTAACCATTAGTATTACGACTATTGCTGACATTTAATCCACAGTCAATCCCTTCAAAAGTGTCACGATCCCATGTTTTACATATTATTTGCATATGTGTATATATACATTACTTTCTCAGAAATTGTTTTTTTAACTACTAATACAAAAAATATTTTTGTTATTATTTTGTCCAACAAAGCTGCATCCTTAACCATGCCATAACCCCCCCCCCCCCCCCCCCCCCCCCCCAATCCCCACCATTCCCGCCAAAAAACTTTAAGCAAAAACCAAAAGGACTTGGTTCCCTAAGTTGAAGCTTATAATGCATATCTGGAAGACAACTCAGCAATCGATACATGATGTGGTCAATATCTGGAAGACAACTCAGCAATCGATACATGATATGGTCAATACGACATATCTGGAAGACAACTCAGCAATCGACACATGATGTGGTTGGTCAATACGGCACCAGTCGTTACTATATTTCCAGGTCCCAGTTTTCACAATAGATCGATCTGGATGTCGTTGGCACTTTTAAAGTTCTGGCTCAAAGGTAACAACTCATCGACGACCGTGTCGCCTACTGGCTCGCCCGAACACGACTTCGTCATTGGTCAGGAAAATGTTTTTGTCTCTCCTGTGATCGCATCAACACTGCAGGAGTGCTTTTCAGAGCTCTTGATGGAGTACAATGCTAAGTTATTTTATACGGCGCATATAACCTAGTCACAGTTATAACCTAAATCTCCCCCTTCGGAGATGAGGGTTGATCTTGACGATTTTTCAAAACCTATTTTCAGCAAAGCACCTAGGTAACAACTATTCTGCCACGACTCTCCATTCTAGGGAACTGACATGAAGAAAACTTGGGAAGGAGGGAGAGTGGTCAGCCCTTTGCAAGTTCTGTGGGGAGATTATATTTCTAGCTTTGTTTAAGAATAATTATAATTAACTGGTAATAGAGATAATTAGGGCTGTTTTCTGGCGTTACGAAAGGGTACACAGTACCAGCACCTTTTCTGTACATCCTTTTTGTTTCAGCGCTACGGTTTAAAAAGAAATATGTTTTTGTGTACCAACACCTGTTTTAAAGACTTTAGATAAGTTCCGGTACCTTTCTTTCTATGGAAAATTAAGTCATAATAATAGTGATAACTTGAATGCGAATTAAATATAAAAAATTTAAGTAATACAATGTGTATTAGCACTAGCTGAAAATGAGTGTTGTAAACATTCTCATGGGGAGTGAGAATGGGGAGGGGGAGGCTTAGTTCCTTCGAAATGAATAGGGGTTGTGGGAAGGGGTGGGCGCTAGAGCTGTCTAAATCCCCACGTTTGGACGCCTTTGCTCTCAGTTCTCTAGCATCGTAGCATGTAATGATAGAAACACAATGTTCGCCAGGCAGCCCAGCTGAACAGTGACGTGAACCAGGAAAAACCCAGCCACTAGAACACTGTCTGCTGACCAAGCATGTAATATGCCGGCGCTAGACGAGAACACTGTAACCCATATCTGACCAGGATGTAACAACTGATCAATAAATAAATCGACATCACTCTATCGCTGTGTTGTTGGAAGCTGGGTTCATGTGTAGGAGTAAAATAGCGCGGTTTGCAGTTTTCACAATGATACAAATGTTTTCATCAATATATTCCGTCCCAGGGCCCCATTTTGAAGAGGAAGAAAATAGAGACAGTGCCCCCTGCCCTTATAAGCATGTCGTAGAAGAATCTAAAAGGGTTTTTCTTTTAAATTTGACTGCATCTGTTTGAGAGGGGAAGAACCAACAGTCTGCATAAACCAAATATGTAAAACATATGTGAAGGTGCAACTCAGCTACTGGAACAAGACTAAACTCAAGAAGTGGACGAACAATCACAATTGTCCACATGAGTTGACATGCTATGAACGCCAAGAAGGAGGAATAGATCAAAAATACAACACGTGTGTAAAGAACTAGTAGAATCACATATTGTCAAGATCTTCTAGCACAGCGGTTCTTTTGTGACTCCTTGTGCAATAGATAACAATTGTTTGGATATCTGTACACTTTAAATTCCCTTACTGTTCAGCCGCCCTTCCTTCCTTCCTTAGCATTACTTGTAAACACCATCAACTTGTAAGACATGAGGTAGGTAGTTCTAAGGAGCTGCGCTAAATAAATGGGTTCTAAAAAGGGATCTGCCAGTCTATACAGTTTGAAAAGGCTGTTCTAGAACATCCAAATTACACAATCAATCAGATGCCGTCTGCACAATGCAGATCCCCAACAAAGTTGTCACCTGTTCTGGTTGTATAAACTTTCTAAGACTTCTGTTCGCATATCAGTTCCATTTATTCCCCCATTGTATCGACATCTTCCTTTTGCTCACCAGACGTTAACTAGTCCCTATTTTATAGTTTTTAACAACCGTAACATATCTAAAGTGAACTAAAGCTATTATTTGTCTCTTTCTATTTCTTTCAATGTCAACCTGTTTACTGCCTATCTCCTATCTCCCCACAAAGGAAACATTTTATTGTTTCTCTTTCGTGAGATCACCCTATTCTTTAGGGTAAATACACCACTATTCGAAAAAAGTTGTGTTTTAGTTTTTTTTAAATATATTTATTAATTTATTTTGGAACTGTCTTATTTACATTTATATCTGCCAATGGGTTCTTAGGAATAGATGCTGACTACTCACAAAGAATTTCTGTTTAACAGTGATAAATACTGTGATGGCTTGAGAAATAGGACAAGAGCCTAGACCTCATCCGTGATTCTGGTGCTGACACAATGGTAAAGCCTCATTGCCCCGCTTACATCATGGTACATAATGATGATGCTAATCTTGCGATGGTGTTACGATAGTGGTAGTGGTGATGATGATGACGATTATTATAATGATGAGGAGGAAGAGGATGATGACAATGGTGGTAACGAAACTTTTTAAAAAAAGGGCAGCACGAATTGAAAAATTAGAGTAGAAATTTTGACTGGATGTGGAATCGATTAAATCAAGAACAGGATTTTTATATACAAGGAACTAGAACATTGTTTACCGGTACCCATACACCCTCACTGCACCTGCCGTTTTGCTCAACTCTCTCTTTCTCTCTCTCTCTTTCTCTCTCTCTCTCCCTCACTCTCTCTCTCTCCCTCACTCTCTCTCTCTCTCCATCACTCTCTCTCTCCCTCTCCCTCACTCTTTCTCTTTCTTTCTCTGCCTCACTCTCTCTCTCTCTCTTTCTCTCTCTCCCTCACTCTCTCTCCTCACTCTCTCTCTCCATCACTCTCTCTCCCTCTCCCTCACTCTTTCTCTTTCTTTCTCTGCCTCACTCTCTCTCTCTCTCTTTCTCTATCTCCCTCACTCTCTCTCCCTCACTCTCTCTCCCTCACTCTTTCTCTCTCTCTCTCTGCCTCACTCTCTCGCTCTTTCTCTCTCTCCCTCACTCACTCTCTCTCCCTCACTCTATCACACTCTCTCTCCCTCACTCTCTCTCTGTCTCTCTCTCTCTCTCTCTCTCTCTCTCTCTCTCTCTCTCTCTCTCTCTCTCTCTCTCTCTCTGAGCCTTATTTGACATTTTACGAGACATTTATTTTCAAATATTGCATGTAAGGAGCCATCAACAGCTATAAAACAAAGAAGATGGCATTTATATTTGACAAATTCTGGGAAAAGGCGAACAAGGAGTCACTAAAAAAGGCGCTGAAACGGGAAGTAAAGTGACTGAGAAAACAGGTAAAGCAAGGAGAGACCCTAAGCAACGTTAAAGAACGAAGATAAATGTGCTGGACAGAATTCCCTCCATGATATCAAAGTGATTACACGAGATAAAACGGAATGTATAAATAGGCTGCGAGCCCTACATCACATAAGGAGCCCAAGAGGACAATGCAATGAATGTAAAGAGCTTGTTTGAAATGTTAGAAGACAAAGAACTTGAGCCAAGATGGGCCAGTTCGTCTCTTATTTAAATATCATATCATGTGACTAAGTGGAAAGAATAATAATAGGTTCAATTTATTTAATTATTTATTTATTATTGACAAATTTATTTTACTTTTACGTGTTAATTTTTGTATGTGTACATTATTTATTACGCATTCATTTTTGTAATTAAGAGGAGCATTGTTCAACTAAAGGCTGGACGTTTTTGTTTTTTTCCCACTGCGACCCAAAGTGCGGGAGGGGTGGGGAGATATTAACAGACTTCGCCCCCATTCATCGCAACAAGCATGTCGTAAAAATACGGATGTATTTAGCCATAGGGCGCAGATATCTCGTCCCTGGTTTTAAGCTACATCACAAAGTGTCAGACTTCCGGCCAATATGGTCGACAGCCGGCTGACCACTGACGCTCTGAAAAGTTATGTGCACAATTGCGGAACAGCTACGATCGTTTATTCTTGTCTGTAATTCTATTGTTGTCTGTGTTTGTTATATACCTATGGAGGTTTTCTGGCCGCAACGTTCATTTTATTGATCACGATGGTGGTATTGGGAAGATGACTAGTTTGACTTGTCAAGTTTTTTTTGTTGTTTTTTTTATAATTATTTTTCCAATATTTGCCATACCTGCTGCCTGCTCTTATAATAAAATCATTAACTGCAGAGAATATTAGGCATTCGTAGTGTTTATTGTGGTGACTTTTCAGGGTAGAACTGAGAAGTTCGGCCACTATGTTTCGTATAAGAAAGATATTAGCCTCAGCAAGAAGGTTTTTGGAAGCTGAAGCAGCATATTGGCTGGTCGGCCCTGCAGCCTTATGTCTGAATCCGCACGGGGTCAATCCAGCTGGTACCATGAAATGTCTTGGAATGTAAGGTGACCAGCGTGATGTTGGCCACCCCCCCCCCTTCCCCCATAGAACTGTTACTGCTCTATTAAAATAAACGTAGCGACCTTTGTGGCTTAGGCGTTGCCAACGCGCTTCGTAATAACTGGGTGCTGGGTTCGATCCCAAGTGCAGGCGATTTGGCAGGAAAACGTCACGCGCTAGTTTCGACAGTGGTAACGAGAGTTGAAATTCCAAAACTACCTAACATAATTTGTCTAGTAAAACTAAAACAGCTAAAAAATGCTGGGGTGGTTCCTGTAGATGGTTTTTAAGGTTACTTGCGTATCCTTTACAGGACGTTGCAGAACCAACCCCAACAGTTTTTAGCTGTTGTGTGGTTTTTCTACCCAAAGATACGTCCAGTAGTTTGCCATTGCTTCTGGACGGTCGTCTTTCTTGATACCACTGTCGAAAACAACGCAGGGCGCATGGGCCGGAGCTGTAATCGAACCCGGCATCCCGGCATTCAAAGCGTTCGCATCGACTTAGCCACAGAGCCGACCCTGTAGAGGGTACGCAACTAAATAACTTTATAAATATGAGGACAACTTAATCATTTTAACTGGAAATATCAGCGATTGAAGAGGCAGCGATACAGCCAGAGATGGCACAGGACGTGCTAAAAACGTGACATGGAATATCAAGAGATCAATTCAGAATTTCGAGGACTGAAAACACGAGGACGATGGTAATGAAGAAGATGATAGGGCTGGTGGTGCCGACGGTTGTCTTCTTCTTGTAATCGCTTTCTGATTTACGCCAACTGAGAGTTCTTGTGGAAACAAAAATTTGCTATGTTTCAGTTCTATTTAAGTTCCATACAACTGTGTGTATGGTGTAGTCTTATTAGGCTAGTATTCCCTTCTCAATGGGCTGTACAAGCAAACTACGACTGGCACCATTAGTATTGGAACTCTGCGCTGGCTGCTGAGGATGGGCACGGAGCGCGTATGGGAATGCCCCGAGTGTTGTGATGTCAATTCCTAACTCAACTTACCTCAACCCAACTGGGCTGTACGAAGGACCTTTGTGTCGGACATATTTTGCAGTTCATACAGTCCCAAGTGGGCACAGTGGTATACCGAGTAGACGAAGTCTGTGCATTTGCTTGTTAAGGTGATGTTGGTGTTGGTGGTGATGTTGATGATTATGATGATGACGACCACGATTCTCATGAACACGATTATGAGGCTTATGGGGGATAAACATGAAACGATTTTTTTTACACACAATATTTGTAATAAAGTTATTATTACTAGTCTGCATCTGCACTCACCTGGGTCTCGGTGAGGTTAAGGCTCAGCGCCAGATTGAGTCGCTCACACACAGACAAGTATCTCGTGGTCTTAAACTTGTTCTCTAGGGCCACCAGCTGTTCGTAAGTAAACGCCGTCCGGGCTCTCCGAGGCTTTCCCTGCTTGCTGCTGTCACTGCTGTTATTACCGTCCTCGTTCCTCTTCTCATCGTCACTGTCTTCATCGTCCAAGTGTTTACCGCTGTCGTCGCACATATCCACGTCTTCTTCAGGGTCGAAGTTTTCCTGCGATGACGTAATAGATACATCATCGTCGGGATGCTGACCTGCGAAGCCAAAGAAAGGATTAATTTTCATGGTTATTCAATAATTGATTAAACTGTGATGTAATCGGGATATTTCAAACTTAATCAGTTAAGAGAGTATTTGTACTCAAAGAGTTAAGTGTCTGATTCATCCAAATCAGATGTGAAAGTATTGGATCTCCGTTCATTAATTTCCACAACATTTGTAATTAAGATACGTATCTAAAAATAGTCCCCACACCAACTGTTCTGACATACATAAACGGTAAAATGTAAGAATTTAAAATTTTTAACTTATCACGGTATGACTGTGATCGATCAACGACACTATGAGCTGAGGCAGCGAGGACAGTTCTCAGACATTTAACACTGGATTCTGAAAAGTGCCATCCATTTTAAGCTACTGCATATCCTAGTGCCACATCAAAGTTAACGACGTATCCTTTATATAACGTTGCAGAACCAACACCAGCATTGTTTGGCTGTTGTGCTTTTTTCTAGGCAAATTTTACGATCAGTAGTTTTTCACTGCATTGAGCAGTCAGCTATCAGTACCACTGTCGAAACCAACGCAAGACAAATCATCCACAGCTGGGATCGAACCTGGTCCCATGACATTACGAAGCACATTCGCAACGCCTGGGCAACAGACGCCAACAGTGCCGCATTGGTTGAGAGAAAAAATGTCTCCTAATAACTTGAACCCGGCTCCTTGTCTTGAAAGAGAAAATAACTATGCACCAGACACTGCATAAGCGATGTGTACTTTCGAATTACGTTAAGTGACGTTTCCAAGCTTCAGTGGCACCATATCGGCCATGAAGTCCCAGATTCCACCCTTAGTGTCGTTTTTTATTGGTTTTAATCATTAAATCAAAAAAATATATGCATAATTAAGACAAACCAAAGACACAAAAATACAAAATTTGCCTTCCCATCCCAGACTGTGAAAAAAGGTATGTCTTTGCTTGAGTGAATACGCCAGACTCCTTATATTTATTGACTCCGCTTGAGGTTAGGTTCGTTCTACGTTGATATCAAGTTCTGTATACACTTCCAATGTTCAGAGAAGAATAACAGCCAATAAACCTTTTAAAGAAAAGTGTGGCGATGATTCGCTGCATAAAAAAATGCTTTGAGAGCTTTAAAGATTATTGAGTTTTGTGGTTTTTAAACAGCCATTTCGTCTAATTGTTTCAAGGAGATTTATTATTTTTGCGTGCCATCGCAGGTGACGCTGTGTGATAAGTCTTTTTGGGTTTTTTTTCAACCACCTCGTCAAATTTTAAATGCTAGATTTTCTTTCCTCAGAATAACTTTTGCTTTGTAAAATGTTCTAATTCCTACCGTTTTTCTTTTCTGGTTTTATCATTTTTGTTTCATTTTACGTCTGTTAAGTATCCTCTTTTCTTCGCATAAGCTTTATTTTGCTTTGACGTTGTAAACTGTAATCTTTTTTTTTTTTATTCGGGCACATTTTCTGCACTTAATTTTGAAATGTCTTTTATGTGTCTTTGTTATTCACATTCGTATTTTCCAAGCCCTCTAACAATTGAATTATTTTCGTTAACTAATATTTCATCGTGTTTTAGATTGTTTGACATTTAAACGTGCAGGTAGTTTTATAAGTGCTAAATAAAACACCGAATATTACCAGAAAACTCAACGGAGGCAATGGAATGCTGTATTGATTTATTTTTAAAGAATTATCTAGTATTTTACATTTGTTTATTATTATTTTATTTCATTTCAGTGGGCTCGTATTTACGTTTAGAAACTGGTTACATTATTCAAAGTTAGGGAAATGTGATGCTATATATACTGTCTTGGTAGTGGTTTTAATACCGCTAAACAAAACAATTGCATGCTGTATTTAAATATTTGTACTGTACATATGTATATGTGTGCATGAATGCGTGCTCTTTAGTCTGGACCTACTTCGTGCACACTTTCAGTCGAACAGTCAAACTGTAACCCATATCTCCAAAACTCCTGTACATATCATTAGAAATGTGTGCATGCGGTATTTGATATAACATATGCCAATGCGTCATAAATGACACTTAAATCGGTGTTGCTGTTTTCTTACAGCGGCGAATTTTTAATCTTTAACTTGTGTGCATCTATCAAAAAAATATAAGTAATTGAAAAAAATCGTGTGTGTGTGAGAGAGAGAGAGGGAGAGAGAGAAGAGAGAGAAAGAGAGAGAGAGAGCGCCAATCAAAAAGCATTATGGCAGTAGATGACGTATCCACTTTACTATTCAAACTAGCAGCGCCTTTGTTTTTCTCACGGATTACCTCCAAAGCGCATGCAGTTTGATATGTTGCCAACTTCTCCTCCAGCCATTTTATGTAAACAAGCTAATTGTATCGCTTTGCATCAGTGTATGTTTTTTACCACATGTAACAAGAATGAGCAAATAAAAACTATATGTTTCTTTATATTAAAATTATTTTCCTACAAGGACATGATTATTAACATGTTGCATGCCTATTTTCCACAACTTATGCCGAATGGTTACAGGGATACAGATTTTTAAAGTTGGTCAGGACTTTTTGGAACCGACTATAACTCGAACATTATGGTTTACCTAATTAGTACCTAATAGTTTGTTTACTTCATGATAATTAAATTAAACATGAACTTTTACTACCAATTTTCATTCGAACTTGGAGTGCCGGAGATTTAAGAAATCAACAGTCTACATATAAATAACACAAATTTTTAGAACTAATGCACAAGAACAACTCAATTCCTGGATCAATATTAAGGTCCGGAAGTGGACGAACATCCAGAACTCTCCACTGGGGTTTACAGTTGATGAAGGGGAAGAAGAACACTGCTAAATGCTTACCACTTGAAACCCCAACATCAGTTGTAAATATTCTAGCCTTTTTTTTTTTTTTTTTAACATTACAGGATAAATGACACCACACGTTTAGACACGGTGACTGCCTCGAGTGCTAGAAGTTCCTGGTTCAATCCCCGGTAAGGGCTGGGATTTTTTTCACGTGGACTTGGACTTCTAGAAATTCCCCCTGGTCTCTGGGTAGTCAGATCGGACGCCCGTGTGCATTGTTGTGCACGTAAAAAATCCCGTGGCAGTTGGAAATCGAAAAGAGCTGCCTAACGGCGCTGCCCGGGCAAAATGTGGAGTTTAAAATCTACCCAAAGTATTTCAGGATCCTCGCCGGTGCTACAGAGCCTGTGCACTGTGCTAAATGTTGAATTAAGAACCACCTGTCTCGGAATACTTTTAATCAGCACTAACACAGATGATCGTCCATTCAATGATGTCAAACTGTCAGCATCTTCTCTCTCTCTCTCTCTCTCTCTCTCTCTCTCTCTCTCTCTCTCTCTCTCTCTCTCTCTCTCTCTCTCTCTCTCTCTCTCTCTCTCTCTCTCTTTCTCTGTGTGTGTGTTTCCCTCTGCCTCTTCTCCTTCTAAATGTCGCACCGTTGTGACGAAATCCATATTTTTATTCTCCTCACATGATCAAAGATTGCAGATTACTTCCTGCTAATGAAGACAATCAGTTTTCCTCCTTAGTGTTTGACATCACGGAGGTTATATTAACCCTTTGTATTTAAATGTTGAATTTCAATACTTCTGTCCCACAGTGTCTCCTAACCCTTTAACATAAAGTATGTGTTGCTTCTAGGCTCAACTTCTTGAAACAGAAAAAAAAATTGCGCTAACTGCCTACCACTGAAACACCTTATTGCAAAGGGTTTTATCCGATCTGCTAGCGGGCTGCTGAGTACATTGCACAGCGCTGAACTCCGTAGCTCTGGCGATGATCCTAACAAATCTCCTTACAATTATTGCAGTCGTGAACCGAACGATGCAGCCTTACAACGGACACACGACCTTGGAGCGCGAGGCAAACGGCCTGACCATATTGCCATGAAGGCCTCCCACCTCCAGTCCATCCCACCACCCTTTTCTCCCTTTTCCTCATTTATTGTGATTTAACTAAACTCTAACAACGGCTACGATATTACAGCTCTTCCTTGTAGCTGGTCTGTTCCCTGTAAACGAAAATATACACTTGTCGCCCAGGTTACATGGAATTCAGATAACACTTAAAGTGAATTCGCTGCCAGAGCTGAGATAATGAGATCATACGTCTTAAGCCTTCCTCTTATTAGTCATGGGAAATTGAGACAGGAGAGTCAACGGAGACTGGTCTCCCGCTGTGGCCACTGATGAGAGATGCAGGCTTGTGGCGAAGATCGTGCGAAATTATCGGCGATGCAGGGACTTGGGAAACGGCAATTGTACCCAAAATGGTCAGATATTCGGTTTTATTGAGGCCACGGGTATGAATATGTCATCTGTTTTCAGAGGCGCCGAAACCTAGAGGCTTAAAACTATTGAGGCTTCCGACCAACTTGTTTTTCTCGCAAAAGAAATGAATTTTCTGGAAGGGGATGGGGCAGCCCGACCCTTAAATTGTTAAGAGTGTCAAGCTGCTCCACTCCAAACATATCAAGAAATTATGTGTTTAAACATGTCGTATTATTTCAAATGTATTTATTCGCCATTCAACAGAGTATCATTATTATTATTTCTATAACAGTAATTATTATTATTACTATTTTAAAAACGCTTAGGCCCTTGAGTATCACCACAAAGATCTTTTCGTGTCTGCACCCTTGCATGCTATGTAGACCATTACTCATCCTCTTCTCATTATCGTTCACGCTTGACATGTAGTGAGAATACCCCCCCCCTCTCCTCTTTTTCCCACCCCTTTACCCCACCCATGCCCCCCCCCCCCCAACAGTAATTGATAAATAAAATGTGTCTATCCTGGATTAGGTAAAATATGAGACGCTTTTAAAATACTAAAAAGGACTCTGTTGCACCAGGCGATGTATTAGGCATGTGATGGAAGACTCATATTCGTTTTGGTCAGGCGGCACTGGATAAGTTATGTGCTCAACAGCACGCTAACCGTCTTCCTCTCACAAGACATTTAGTGTGCTTTTAGACTAGGTGGCTTTGAATGCCAG